AGGGCCCCACGAAGGCAAGATGCTCCCAGAGGCCTCTCCAGGAACATCTCGCCGACGACGACGATGAGAGCGAAGTTGATGACCATGATGGTGATGATGGTCGTGATGGGTGAGACGGCGGCTGTGACAATCTAAATTGGTAGCGTGGTGTTTTCTATGATGATGGTGTTGATGACGATGATGGGAAAGCGAATGGAGATCATCATTCGGGTGCGGTCGATGATTGTGACGCTGACGTCGCCGCATCACCAGCAGCCGAGAACCGATAGTACCAGCCATGATGGCGGTGTTGATGATGGTGACAGCTTTTGACGAGTGTGACGGCCATGAGGAGTACGAGCATTTCCATCAGGATAATGCCGGGCAGTGATTCGGATGAGGAAGATGGGGGAGTATCAAGACGACCCCACGAAGGTAAGAACGACGGCAATGGTGACGAAGTTGATGACCATGGTGGTGATGGTGGTGATGATGGGGGGGCACGACGGCTGTGATGACGTAGTGGTTCGTGTAGTGCTTTCCATTGTGATGGCGGTGATGAGGATGATGGGACAGCGAGTGGAGATATTCATTCGGGTGCGGGCAATGCTTATGATAAATAATGACGACGCGCGGCTTAGATGCCGCCGCATCACCAGCAACAGTGAATCGATGATGCCAGCCAGGATGGCGGTGGTGATGATGATGATGATGACGACGACGACGATGATGATGATGATGATGATGCTGATGATGATGATGATGATGATGATGATGTTGATGGTGCTGATGATGATGTTGATTCTGAGGATGATGATTGTCATAATTTGTTTGATGGTAATGGTGATGGTGATGGTGGTGGTGCTGATGCTGGTACTGATGCTGACGCCGATGCTGATGCTGATGCTAATGATGATGCTGTTGCTGATGATGCTGATGATGATGCTGCTGGAAATGATGATGATTGACCTTTCTGATGGCCATGACGAATTGATTCCGCATTACCATCATGATTAATGATACCGATGGGTAATGCTAGAGACGACTATGGCTCGCGTTTGTACATGCCCGAGCCGACACAGCTCTGTCAGCAACCACCCGTTCTGCGCTAGAACCTGAGCGTGCGCGATGATGATGGATTAGACGATGGCTGCGACGATTTACCCGCTAAGTGTAGCGGGTCCCATCGTGATGAGGATGGTCCAGATGGCGATGAATTGAGAACGAGAATGATGATCCGAATGAGGACGAGGAAGTTGATGGCGCTGTTTGACGTGCAGCATCAGCAACAACACCAGGCCAATAATGTTACCAATGAAGATGACGATGAAGAAGACCATGAGTCTTGACATGATGGCGTTGCTCATGATGAGGAGTATTGAGACGAACACTGGGAATAATAATGCCCATGAGGATTATTGTGACTATGGCACGCGCTTGTGCGTGATAAATCTGTCCAAGCTCTTCTGGTGCGGCCCCAGACTGCGCTACAACCTGAGCGCGCGCGTAGTGCGCGTGATGATTCTAGTGAATGTATGTATATATATATACATATGTAAGGAATGCGAACTAACAGCGCTACATTTCTTGCACCTCCCATTCTTGGCACTGGCTAGGGAATGCACGTGGGTACCTAGCGGCTCTGGCGGAGAAGCATCGTATGCGCTTGGGCTGCTGTTCGACAACCGAATCCCTGATCCAACATTGCCTTCAAATGAACCTCGGCTCTCGTGGCACATATTCTTCCCGCACCATAGACCTTCCCACGTGTGAGTGCTGCACTTGGCGCACTTGGGATACCACTCGGGATCCATACCTCCGCGGCAATTGTGTGCGCAAAGAAAGCGCCCGCTGTCGCTGCACATAACCGTCCACCGTCTCGATTCGCAGTTGGTGCAGTCTGGCGGGTCAACGTTCGAGAAATTGAATTTCCGCACGGCGGCGCTAGGTTCGGGCTTGCGCCGCTCCTTAGGCGGGTTGTAGGCTGGCTGGGTCTGCACATGATCGGGCGTACATGACTCGAGGGGGCGTTCCCTGCTGAGTATTGGCCTGTCAGACGTGCTGCGCTTGTAGGTCCGCTGGCACGCAGCCGTGGACGTGGCGGGCAAGGCGAACTAGACCGGGGCCCCAGAGCGGGGGGGCGACTGGATTGCCGTGTGCGCCGCATGGGTCTAGAATGCAGCCGGCGAGAGTGGCTGTCGCGCTCGCGTTGCTGATCTCGCGTAAGCGCTTTGGTCGTTTGCTCAGCAAAACGTGAACGTGGTGCAGACAGGAGAGGAGGGCTCCGCCTCTCCGTTGAAAAGACACCTGACGGCACTGACTGCGGAGGTGGTGACGCTGGGGTAGAGCTGGCGTTACTGTAGCTATTGCTGTCGCCGTCCTGTGACGAAACGGCTGTAGAAACTAACTGAGGCTGGGGCTTGCGAAACCTGCGTTGGGTATGACATCGCTTCGGGCTGGCCGCTCCCGCTGGTAGAACTCGTACGTACGTATGTATGTATGTATGCATGCATGCATGCGTGCATGCATGCATGCACGCATGTATGTATGTATGTATGTATGTATGTATGTATGTATGGATGCATGCATGCATGCATGCATGTATGTATGTATGTATGTATGTATGTATGTATGTATGTATGTATGTGTGGGTGGATGTATGCACGCATGTATGTCTATATGTATGTATGCATGCATGCATGCATGCATATGTATGCATGTCTGTCTGCCTGTCTGTTTGTCTGTCTGTCTGTCTGTCTGTCTGTCTGTCTGTCTGTGTACGTGTGTATGGATGGATGGATGGATGCATGTGTGTATTATATATATATATATATTATATATATATATATATATATATAAATATATATAAAAAGTTGGGGGCCAGGGCCGGGGGCCCTAAGGGCAGATACCAGGCCTCCATAGGTGTGACAGAGCGCCTGGGCCTTTCCAAGACCGCCCCAGAGGGCTCCGACACGGCCCAGCAGAGCCCCCAAAGGCGCACAGGACAGTCTGAGAGGCCTCAAAGACTGTCCAAGAGCGCTCCAAGGCGGCTCACGATGATCTCAAATCCAGCCCACACGCCCGCAGGAGGTGCCCAAGAGGGCTTCCAGAAGCGCTCGAGGAGGCCCCGGAAAAGGCCAAGAACGTTGAACAAACATGGGATGGTTACAGATTTGTACATTTTCGCGTTTTCGCGTCACGTGCGCTTCCGAGGCCACGATGTGGCCCCCAAAAACCTTCCAAGAGCCCTCCCAAAGTCTCCAAGAGGCACCAAGAAGCCCCAAGAAGATCCCCATAGACCCCCCAAGACGCCCCCTATGTCAAAGGATAGGATATTACAGCTTCATGAGGCCCCAAAGAGGCGCCTAAGTGGCCCCCAAGAGAAAACGTTTTGAAGATGCTCTACGAACACCAATCCCGCCACAAAGACCTCCAAGACGCCCCCATGAGGCCTCAAACAGGCGGCTAAGAGGCCCCCAAGAGGCCCCAAAGAAAACCCCAAACGCCTTCAAGATGCTCTAGGAACACCCAGCCCGCCCCAAGAACCACAAGAGCCTCGACACGCTCCGAAAAGTGCCCAAGAGAGCGTCCAGGAGAGCTCGATGGGGCTGGGAAAAGGCTGGACGCGTTGAAAAACATGCAGAAGCTCAATGATTTGTGCAGTCTCGTGTTTTCTCGCAGCAGCTGAGGGTTGGTGGTTGAGGGTTGAGGAGGGAGGAGGTTGACGAAGCAACGGAAAGCAGAACAGGCAAGAGAAGCAGGACTGAGAACGCGCCTTCCACGGAGCGATGAATGAGGAAAGCAGGGCAGGAGGATAATGAGAAGCAATCATATTTCAGTTTGCATGTCCCAGCGCCCTGAGGCTACTTAGAAACAGAGCGCGCGCGGAGCGCGCGCGAATGCTTCAAGTACCTTTCTCTCTATATATATACACACGTCGCCGCGCCGTTTGTTCTGACGCGCAGCCTTACGTTTTGGGGAGGGCGCCTCGGGCACCAGGGCAAATCCTGCCTCGGACACAGTTGTTCGTGGGCTTGCCGCGGTGCCAGCTGCGTCTGCTTGGGCGTGGGGCGCGGGGCCTGCCTTGGGCTTGTAGTGGTGTCGGTGGCGTCCACTTGGGTGCTTCGAGGACAAGCGGCTCGGCGACATGTGTTGTTTTCCCTGTCTCGCGCTCTCTGTTTCTGTCTGTCTCTCAGTATATATTTCGCTCTCTGTACATGTCTATGATTGTGATATCACTGCCTCTCTCGCTCTCTCCCTCTCCCTCTCTCGATATATGTTGTTTTTGTTTCTCCCTCTCTCTCTGTATCTCTCTCGAAGCACATATATGAATACACCGATGTAGCTATCTATACACACATGCTCCCCCTCTCTGTTTCGCCCTTTGGTATGTGATAGCTGCATCTACACACATGTATTTATACACACACCGACGCACACACACACGCACACATACACATTTACATGTATGCTTATCTTTCTCTACTTCTTTCTCTGTCTCAGTCGGTTTGCCTGTCTTCCTGCCTGTTTGCCTGTCTGTCTGAATGTCTCTCTTTCTCTCTCGGTCTGTCTGGCAGCCTGTCTGTCTTCCTGCCTGTCGGCCTCTGCCCGTCTGTACGTATGTGTGTTCTCTCTCTCTCTCTCTATTTTCGTTTTTTTTGTTTGTTGTTTTCTTCCTCTCTCTCTCTCTCTCTTTCTCGCTTTGTCTTTGTCTGTTTCTCTTATGTACGCATACATGCATACATACACGTCCTCTCTCTGCCTCTGTCCGTCAGACCGTATTTCCGTCTCTCTCCTCCTCTCTCTCTCTCTCTTTCTCTTCCCTTTCCTTTCTCTTTTTTAGGTATGTTTTTATATATATATATATATATATATATATATACATCTCTCTTTTCTCATCTTTTAGGTGTCTATATAGATATGTATGCTTATATATTTCTCCGAGCACAGCCACTGTCCACCCCCGCCGCGCCCGCACCCCGAGCACGACCGCGCCGCCCCCGCCCGCTGGCGCCACGGAGGCCATCCTGGTGTACGCGCGCCACATCCAGGCCCTCATGCGCGGCAAGCAGGCCCGCGAGGAGCTGCGCGCGTTCCAGCAGGTGCACGCCGCCTGCAGGCTGCAGGCGTGCCGCCGCTGTCGAAGTCGAGGTCACCGACGACGTCGATGGTGCCGTCGTCGTCGCCGTCGCCGTCGTCGTCGTCGCCGTCGCCGTCGTCGTCGTCGTCGTTGTCGCCGTCGTCGTCGTCGTCGTCGTCGCCGCTGTCATTCGTCGCTCGTCGTCGTCTCGTTGTCGTCGTCGTCGTCGTCGTCGTCGTCGTCGTCGTCGTTTTCGCTTCTCCCCGTCATCGGGGAGATCTTCGGCTGAGGATGGCATCAGCCTTTCCTTTCAGAAGGCGCTGATTTGTTTGGCTTCTGGCCGTCTTGGGGACATGGTGCTTGGGGACAGGGTGTTCTCCCCCTCCCCCTCTCTCGCTGTCTCTTTCTGTCTCTGTCAGCCCCAGGCCATCCCCTTGACGGTCGCGGGCACTCGCAAGCCACTCACACCTGGCAAGTCTGCGCGGTCAGAGGTTCGACGTCTACGGGCCTGGGGTGCATCCGCTCACCCGGATTCCGAAGTCGGTGAAGCGGAAGGCCGCGTTCCTCGTGCTGACGAGGGCAGTTCACATCGGGCATTGTTGCAAGGATACGCATGTCACGGAGGTCGTCATTTCGGTCGCGAGGGCGCGGCGGCACCGAATGGCTGACCTTGATTGGGCCGCCAAGTCCGCCGAGCTTGGGCATCCCAAGTGGAGCAAGTTCCGATATTTGAAGGTGGTCCGCGGCCGCACTCTGGCGGGCACGAGGCGCCTCAGTGTTCTTCGTGCGGGGCGTAAACGCAGCAAAGCCAAGTTTGCAATCGGGGGCTTCCTCGGGGAGGACGACCGCACCGCCACCAGCACGGGCAGCGTCGACGGCAGTGCGCTCGAGTCCCCGTGATGCTCGCGCATGTGCTGCGTTCGCCAGCCGAGGGCGCGCAACGCGTGGGCCAGGTGCGGTGCTGGCCCGCCCTCCCGCTGTGGGCGATGGGGTTCAGCTCCTCCCCGGCCGTGCCTGGGACTCCTCGTTGTCGTCCCTCCGTCCCCCAGCCTGGCTCCAGGGGTATTCCCAGCACCTCTTTCACACCATCTGTGCGCGAGTTGTTCTCTGCGCTCCTCCAGATGGCCACGACCAGGTCTATCGTGTGCTTCGCTACTATGTTTTCGTTGCGGATCCTTTGCCGTAGTATGTGTGTTCTGCAACCTCGCCAGGAAGGCGGTGCCCGCGTGGCTACTTTGGTTGCCATGGGCGTTCGATTACCCGAAGTGCCCAAAGCGACAAGCAGCAGTGATGTGTTCACTTGTGCTGATGCAGAATTTGCGTATGATGTCGACAAATTCTCGAACGTCGCGCAGGTATGTTTCTTATACACGCCGTGGAAAGGCGTTGCGGACGCACGTCTTGGAAATAATGCGATTTTGTGCTATCCGTTGCAGAAGTGCTGGGATTCAGTGCGAGAGTCTGAAGGATCAACCGGGCCAGAGTAATCCTTCGTCGAGAGTCGCAAGGCTGCGCACGGATTGTGGTTGCACTTCCGGGCTCGGAGGCAGCTTCGAGTACTTGCCATGCAGTGCTTCTCGGACGGCGTCCCCGCACTCCGAGCACCACCGGGGCGCGGGGCGCAGGGCCCCCGATCGCACCGCCAGCGCACGTGGCAGCGGTACGCGATTGTTCGGTGGGGACGCGCAATGCGTCAGCGTTTCGATTGGCGACTGGTTTCTGGGTGAGGTATTCTCGCCTGGCACTTCAAGTCGCCAGCGTATCGCAACGGTGCGATGGGTGATCTGCTTTGCTTCTCATCCGAGTGCACTTCGCAGAACAAACAGCTGCTGGGATGATCCCACTTCACGCAGGCGAGGATGCAGAACATGTTGAAGTTGTGACTGTACAGTCGTATATTCACCCTGTAATAATCCTTGCTCCAGACCTTCGAGGCGGAGTCATCATCCAGCATGTCGCACATTTCAATGAGGATTTGCGGGGCTCGGAAAGCTTTGAGGCAGGAGACTGCATCGAAGAACGCTTTGATGGCGATTGCCCCGCGACGTGACAGTTTTCTGATATTTGTTCTCATTCCTCCATCCTCCCAGCGCATGCATCTTCACCTCCATGACCTCCATTGGTCTATCATGGGGTTGATACCAGGCATTTGTCGCGCCGACGGGTGGTTGGGGCGTACTTTGCGTCTCCACTCGGCTTGCGTGTGCCTGGTCGGCGAGCATTGGGCGCGTCTGCTGGTGGTGGGGGCGCATTTGGGGTACCGACTGCTTCCATACTATGCCGGAATGTCGGGCCCCCAGGTCCCATCCCTGGATGGCTGTCACGCATTCAAATGCGATTTGTAGTCCCGCCTCCTTTGGTCTTCCAGGGGGCGCCTGTGACTGCACGAGATGCCTCGAAATCGCCTCAGCAGTCACTTCACGGGAGGCTGCTCCCCCTCTTCTGCCCAGCGCCCGAAGCGGGCGACGCCGAAGGCGGCGCTGGAGCCATTCGCGGCTGGCCCTTGTAGTCGTGAGCGTCTGGAGCTGCGCCCAGTCGTGCGCGCACTCACTACGCGCAGGTGCCCTCACTGAACCGCTCTTGCTTCTCTCGCTGTCTTCGTTTCTCTGTTCGCCTGGGATCTTGTTGGGGCCATCCCTTTTGGTCTGACTGGGTCGAACGCAGGTGGTTCGTCTGATTACGTCAGGCACATGGTGCGTTCCAGCAAAAGCCTCGTCTCCGTTGGATCTTGAAGTTGACATCTCTTCCTCGGCGGAAGGCGGCGGAAGGCTGTCGGAAGTGACAACTTCCTCCCCCAAGGTCTGTTCCAGAACCCTTCACATGGACAAGCGCCCGTGCGTGCACTCGCTTGCTCCCCCACTCGTAGGACCTCTCTGACCTCGGTGCCGGCCCGTCGGCCGCAGGCGTTCGCCAGGAAGCTCGTAGAGAAGTCAAAGTTCCGGGCGATTGTGAAGAAGATCATCAAGATCCAGGCCGTTCGACGTGGGATGAAAGGTCGGCGCTTCCGCTCCCGACGAGGGGCGGGGAGCGTGGTATTGTACCGTCGGAGGACGGCTGTTCGGCATCTTGCTGGGAGGTCGCCCCCCCGCCCCCCCCAAGAACCGTCGAGCCGCGAAACCTCCGCATCCAGCGCAGGAGCCCCAGGTGGCGGAGCCAGGCCATTCTTCAGATTCGGCACTTGCCCCGGCGGCGGTCAGGAACCATGGTGCGGGCGGGCGTGAACGCAGGGCGCGGCCCACAGCATGGAGAGGGCTCGCAGTCATGAACGGAGTCACGCCGAAAAAAAGTAGTGAAGGATACGGCGGCGGCATTGGATAAGGAACTTCTTCCTGGGGCCCAGACCCCGGCGCCTTCCCCTTGTTGTTTGAAGGCGAGGTGGGCGGCCGACGTTTGGCCGTTCCCGACCCTGGACGCGATTCCACTCCTGTCGGGGATGCCGTGGTCGACGAGTTCGGCCACTCCCCGGGGAGAGCGCGACGATTCCAGGCCCTGCCTGGGGCGCTCTCCAGGAGACAGGGCCCCGCCGTGTGGGATCGGAGGCGCCGGCGTGCCTTCCCCGGCGGAGGGCGGCGGAAGGCCAGCGGACGGCGGCGGAAGCAACATGAGGGCGTCCACGACGGCGCACGTAAGAATCCCCCCCCCCCCCATCCCTCCCTCGTCGGCGGCAAAGAGGGGGGTGATGACTAGGGGGGGGGATATCACGGCGTGGGCCATGGTATCTCCTCAGATTTCGTGGCGCCTCTTCTTATTTCATGACGTCCCTGGCCTCCCCCACGGGCCGCGCACGTGCCGCCGGCCATGCTTTGCGCCCCCCCTCCTCTCTTGGACGCCCCCCTCTTGGCCGCCCTCGATTCCCCCCGAAGAGCTTGCACTTTTCTGGCGGGGGTGGGGCGGCCAGAGCGGGCCCGCTGGGGCCCGGCAGGGGCCGCGGGCCCTCCTGCGTGGCCCGCCCTCGGCGCCCTGCGCGCCCTCGACCTCGGGCGCTCACGCTTCACGCGCGCACGCGCTGGAGCGTTCCGGGGCGAGGTCCACGCGGGGTAGGGGGGTGGCGGGAGGCCCGACCAGCTTCGAGAGGGGCTGGGGGTGGGGCGTCGACCAGTGCAGTCGCTCCGCGAGAGGGGTGTGGGGGGGGGGGGTCGGCCGGTCCAGCCCCCACTGTCTCGGCCCTTCTCTGGAGCCTTCCTGGCATGGAGGAACGTGGGAGGAGGAGGAGGAGGAGGAGGAGGAGACACGATGAGGAGGACGACGAGGAGAAAGAGGTGGAGGAGGAGGAGGAGGAGGAGGAGGAGGAGGAGGAGGTAAGAGGAGGAGTCCCAGAGCCTCCCAGGACGCCCTTGGAGCTATCTGGAGCGCTCTGGAGCGGCCCGCGACGTCAGACACGGCCTGTGGACTCGCCAGGTCTCGGAGATTCTGGGACCGAGCGAATTGTGGAACTGGGCAATTCTCTTTGGGCCTGGAAATTGGTGTGTGGCCCCCCCCCTTTCTGGGGGGCCACTTCGCCGCTAGTGGAAAATCGTGTGTGTGTGTGTGCCACCCTTCGACGCACGCTTTGTGGTCATCAGCTTTGCTCAACCCGCTACCGCCCTCGCTGAGTTGAACCAGCCGGCCGCGAAATAAAACATGTATGCGCGCGCGTGTGTGTGTGTGTTTGTTTGTTTGTTTGTTTGTTTGTTTGTTTGTCAGTTTGTGTGTGTGTGCACGTGTGTGTTGCTTCTGCCCTTCGCTTGGCCCTGTTGCTGTGGCCAGCGCGTCGCCGAGCGAATGCTTGCGGAGGACAGGCATGCGTGTGTGTGTGTGTGTGTGTGTGTGTGTGTGTGTGTGTGTAAGTGTAAGTGTTGCTTCGCGCTGGCCTGCTCGGTCTGCCCCTTGCCAGGGGTTGGCGCGCCTGGGCCCACCACCGTGAGCGCAGTGTCGTGGCTGGCTTCTGCTGCCCTCGCCGCCCGGTGGCTCCGCGCCCGTGCGTGGCTGCCCACCGCGGCGTCGGAGTAAGGAAGTGTGCGCCGCTCGCGTCCTGAGTTAGTGGCCGCGTCTTCTTGCGTACGGGGGTGGGTGCGCGTGTGCTTTTCAAGTTGCTCAACCAGGGCGTCGTTTCAGTCTGAGTGGCCTCTGATTGCCCGGCGCAAGCGTGGCTCTGTCCCGGGCCCCTTTCAGAGGAGGAAGAGGTACCCATACCGCTACCCTTCCCTCGTTTTCCCATTTTTTGGGGCCTCCTGGGAGGCTCTCATCGCCACCGCTGGATTTGCTTGGAAATTCTGGTCAGAACGCACCTCAGGAGAGGTCCGGGGAGTAGCGATATTGGTACCGTTTGGTTTCCCTACCCTTGCTGCCGGCGTCGGTCCTGAGATAGTGGAGCGGACTCTCCTCCATGCAGGAACGCGTGTTCCTTTCCCGCCCAAGGCCTGGGAAGTTGCCTTCGGCGTCCGGGGGCGTCGGACATCAGTCGCTTGCCTCTCAGTTCCTGTTTATGCTCGTGGAGCCGGGTGTCTGGATGTTTGGGCGAAGGCACGGCCCGAGGCATCGCTTGGATCAGCATTGTCGTGTGGATTCTCATTCGTTTTGTTTTGAGATCACGGTCGATACTAGTGTCAAAAATATGGAGAGGAACATGCTGCTATCGTGAAAGAATTTGGGAGGACGAGCACTCTTCAGAGATCTCAATTTGGGAGAATGCGTCCTGGCTGACGTACCGCTGGGGGGCCTCGCGCTCGTCGTGACGTTCGCCATCGAAGATCCTAGCATTTCCCAGGAGCACCCCATCCAGCCCGCCCCAATGGGGCCAAAGAGGATGGGGTCGGAGGATCGCGCCGCATCGCCGATGCATGAGCATCTCGGTGTGATCCGCAGCTCGATTTTCTCCATCCTGACGTTGCCAGTGCACTGCCGATACATCGGCGACGCGGCGCGATCTTCCGACCCCATCCGCTCTGGACTCTGGCCTCCACGTGGGCAGCGTCTACCTCAGGACCCCGCATCCGCAGCCATCTTCCTTCGATGACACGCCGAGTCCCTGCAAGATGAAGGCGGGCCTTACCCTGTCTTGCGCGTGGCCCCTGTTCTCCCCTCTTCTCCCCTCCTCTTCTCCTTCTTTGGCGCTTCGCTGTAGTTGTCACCTCGTGTGGCGTTCCCAGCTTGTCTGGTGGTCTTCCATCTCGCGTCGCAGTGCACATCGTTCAGTGCATGATGTTGCTGCGTTGGGCGCGTGGCCATCAGGCCACGGCGCCGCTTCTTTTGGGGAGAGCCTCTGTGCCAGAGCCGCCACAGCATTGGTGTGGAGGGGTCGCAGTGTGGGCGGGGAGCGAACTCGTGAGACCGTGCGCAGCAGGGAATCTCTATACCCCTTTGTTTTTTTGTCCTTGCTTTGGGCTTCCGGGGCCGTGCTCGGGCACCGCTCGTGGGGCGAACTGCTGCCCGCGGGGATGGGGTCGTGACCTCGGGGGACCGCGGGTGGACAATATCAATCAATCGGAGGTCTGGGATCGGCATCGGATGCTAGGTCGTCGCTACGCCGCCGAGTACAAGAAGCACTACAGCGCCACCCAGATCCAGCGGTCATGGAAGCGTCGCCAGGAGCGGGGCTTGCAAGGGAGACCCCGACCCTTCATGGCACCCTCGCGATGATGCAGACCAAGTTTCAACAGTATAGGCAGGCACGCATGACGTGATTGGTAAGGGACGCGCGGGTTGCAAGTAATGCTTTTGGTTCATGCCACTCCAGATCATTCCAGGAGAAGGGGGGGTCTGATGTCTGATGGGAAAGTGGGACATTAACCATTCTATCTTCGGGACCAGTTCGGGGAGAGAGGGATAAAGGGACAATGGCTAACCTTGATTTGCAGTCGGAAAGTGCAGGAGGTCCTTTCTGGAATAGCGTCAAGGCTTGAAGCGTCGGACTTCCGTAAGGCCAAGCTGAGGGCCCATCGATGGGAAATCAAGCTATCGCGGAATATGTTCAAGATGAGACGGAGTCCAGACGAGGGCTCGTACATCTCCTCGCGCATGACAGGAGTTCCGCAGAAGATTCGGGCATTGATGCGGGCAGCCAGATCGCCATCCCTACACCATCCGAGCATCGCACGCAGTCTGCAGGATCGCGTGGCGGTAGACATCGTTGCTCGATGCTCCTGTGGCCAAGCTCCCCGCGTTGCCTCGGTGGTATCGCCACCGATTGCCAGGAAGCCGGGTGCGCCCGATGTGGCCAGCCTCGGCCACAGTCGGATGCACACGTGGCTGCATGCCCCTCCTTCGCTCGGCCCTCGTATGGGTGGTCGCAGGTGTACCCAGCGAGTGGCCTTCGCGTGTGGCGGGAGAGCGTGTGCGTGCGCTCGTCGCAGCACGTGCTCCGGCGGGACGGGCATAGTCGTGCCTTCTGGTGCTACCCTCGTCTCCTCCTCCTCCTCCTCCCTCCTCTATCCTCCTCCTCCCTCCTCCTCCTCCTCCTCCTCCTCCTCCTCCCTCCTCCTCCTCCTCCTCCTCCTCCTCCCTCCTCCTCCTCCTCCTCCTCCCCCACCTCCCCCACCTCCCTGGTTTCTGGTTTCTGTTTTCTGGTCTCCAGCATGGGGGATCTCCGAAGCGTCTGAACGCCAACATGCAACAAGCCAGCAACAGAAGAGGCGGGAGACGGCTCACGGCGCAGACTTGAGCAGGCCTCCTCAGCCTGCACGATCTGTCTCAGCAGTCCGCACCACTATCGTTGTCGTCGCTGCCTCGCGCCCCCCCACCGTCGGGCGCAGCCTTGCTGGCGCTCGAAAACTGACATAGGGGTCCTGGGTTATGTAGCCCCCGTGAGTCTCTGGGGGGGACCTCCACCCTCCTCCGCCTCCTCCTCCTCCTCCTCTTCATCATCATCATCATCACCACCATCATCATCATCATCATCATCATCATCATCATCATCATCATCATCATCATCATCATCATCATCATCATCATCATCATCATCATCATCATCATCATCATCATCATCATCATCATCATCATCATCATCATCATCATCATCATCATCATCATCATCATCATCATCATCATCATCACCACCATCATCATCATCATCATCATCATCATCATCATCATGCCCCCCCCCAGGCGTTCCTGATACAGACATTTGCTTTCTTCAGTACGGGCCCCCTAGTGGCCCCGACCCTTTCCCCCAGGGCGGTTTTTCACCTCGAGCTGTTCTTGTTAACGGCTCTCTTGGGCCCAGCGAGATGGCTCCCAGGGGACGAAAGCGGCCAGCAGCTGTCCGCCGTGTTTTTTTGTTGACGCGAGCACGTCTGGGGAGGCTCCTTCCCCCTCCCCCTCCGCCTCTGCTATCCTCCTCTCTCCTCCTCTCTCCTCCTCTCTCCACCTCTCTCCTCCTCTCTCCTCTCTCCTCTCTCCTCCTCCTCCTCTCTCCTCCTCTCTCCTCATCTCTCCTCCTCCTCCTCCTCCTCCTCCTCCTCCTCCTCCCCCTCCTCCTCCTCCTCTGCTTTTCCCCTGTCCTCCTCCCCCTCCCCCTCGGTCTCCGCCTCCCCCGCCGCCCTCCCTCGCTCGCTCGCGGTTCTCGTGGCCTGTCTATCGGCCCGCCCCTCCCTCGGCGCGCCGCCCGCCTTCCGCCGACCCAGGGACAGCGGAAGCTGGCCGGCAGCTCATGGCCAGATACAGTGGAGGCCCATGCCGAGGAACACCCTGCTTGCCTCCAGGATGCCCTGGGTTTCTGGCCTTTCGATGGTTTTGCGACAGAAAGCGTGGCGTTCCCACACCAAAGACCAATGGACGTCCTGGGATCTCAGGTTTGGGTTTCTCGTGGATGGTTTCTTGGGGACCGGCCTCCACTGTAATCGGAGGGAGGAGGAGCGACACCAACACCTCCAGGGGGCCACCTCCAGCCAGGAGGTTCACGAGATCTCCCCGAGCTGGAGGCTGGGGATGTCTCGAGCGAGAGGGGGGGCCACACCACCAGGGAGACCCCCCCTCGCTCCCCGCATCTCTTCGCCCCAGTGGTGTTGGTGTCGCCTCTCCCTGTTCCCAAAGAAGTCCTCCGCAGCCGTCTTTGCTGAAGCTCCCTTGCCTCCCCAGGATCTCTCTACGATCCGATGCGGCGCGATTCGATTCGCCGCCTGAGGCCGCGGTTTCGATTCGCTTCGTTCTGGTTCGATTCACTGGCGTCGGCCGGGGCCAGCCAGAGACGAGCGCGGCGATCCGATTTCGACTCGATTTCGGACGATTCGCTGGCGGTCCGCCCCGTTTCCGATCCGATCCGATCATCCGGGACCCTGGCGCGGTGGATCCGATCCGATTCCGGCTCCGTGCCGGTGCGGCCCGATCCGACGCTCGCTCCCATCCGATCCAATTGATCGATTCGAGATTGACCGGTCCTGCATCAAGGCTCGACCTTCAGGATTTGGACGTTTGCTGCGTTTCTTTTGTCCTCCTGGAGGGGGTCCTCGTCGGCGCAGCTGTGTGCACTTCGAACTGGTCAGGGTGCTCTCGGGGATAGATGTCCGGGGGCCGATTTCGAAGGGGCAGGTCGAGGGAGAGCACTCCTGTCTTTTCCACGCCGCCCCAGCCAGAAGCCTCTGGGAAGGGCCACTGCCGACGCCTTCTAAGACGCCCCCCTCTGCCTTCTCAGAAGCCCGCCCTCCTCTCCGTAGAACGACAGCTGTACACCACCGATCCTGGCCAGGCCAACCCTGAGCCCAAAATCGGCGGTGTGTAAGCAGTCCTGGCCGCGCCAGGACGCCGCATACACCGATCGTTTGGCCCAGGCTTGGCCTGGCCAGGATCGGTGTCGGTGTACTGCCGCCGTTCTGCTTCTGCGCGCCGCCAGCGCAGCGGCCACCTGGCCAACAGGGCCGCGCTGCGGGACTGCGGGGTGGCAGAGGGGTCGCGGCTGTGGTTGGGTGCGCGGAGGGCTTCTCGGCCGTCGAGAAGCTGCAGCTGCATGTGCAGGGCCCCGTCTCGACGGAGGAGTTCCAGGTGCCCGCCATGGGCGCCGTCGAGGCGGCGCCCATGGCGCGGGCGGCGCCGCTGGGCGCTTGCCGGACTATGGGCAGCGCTGCTTCTGCGGCCCGCCGTGGTCGTTGCCTCCTTCTGACCCTCGCGGGCGGGGCTAGGGCAGGGATAAGCTCGTTCCAGAGCGTTCTGGAGCGCTCTCATGGCGTTCCGGAACGCTCTGAGAAGGCCGCGGCGCCCGACACATCTTCCAGAGCAGCTGGATCTCAGAGATTCCCGGTTTATCGCCGTCCGATTTTCTTCCTGTCCTGGCCTCGTCTTGCCATCCCCACGATGTCTCACCGCGTGCGAGCCTCCTCCTCCCGCTCTTGAGCACACTGCGCACAAGCTATCCGGCCCCGGCCGCACTGGCCGCCCGTCGCGGCGTACCGCCGCGTGGCGGTGGAGCAGGACCGCCTTTCACAGGAGAAGGCGCGCGAGAAAAGGAAGAGTACATTAATCAAAAGGTCAGCAATAAGAGCAATATTGGAAATAATACGAATACTACTAACAGCATCAACGCCAATCACAATAATACGAAAAAGGACAACATAACGATACAACTCATCATAATAATGTCACCAACAATGAGTAAACTAGTACTAAGAATAATGAACACAGGAATTGTAGTAATGATTCAAAAGAGAAACATATGATTGCTGGTCTTAGCACCAATGACTCAGAATAGCAGTAGTGCCACTACTGGTAAGAAAACTCAGTAATACGAGATGTACTGATCAGAACTCAGCAGCTCCGCATTCTCCTCCTCGTCGCTCTACCAAGCGTGCTTTCTAGGGCGGATCGGGTGCTGAGCCTGGAGGCCTACGCCACAGCTCATGACCCTAAAGCTGGAGCTGTCGAACGCCTATGCGGATAGAGGGCGCTCCGCCTTCAAAAAATGCGTCTCTCGTTTGAACGCTGCACACGTTGGAGGAGGTGGAGTCCAGGGCTATTGCTTATGTTAACCTTCATCGCTGCACCGCTAGATTCCATCGCGCTGTCATGCCCCTCCGCTTTCCTCCTTCTCCTCTCCAAGCAGTGCTGGAACATCAGATCACACGGGAGGAGGAGGAGGAGGAGGAGGAGGAGGAGGAGGAGGAGGAGGAGGAGGAGGAGGAGGAGGAGGAGGAGGAGGTGGAGGAGGGGGAGGAGGAGGAGGAGGAGAGGAGGAGGAGGAGGAGGAGGAGGAGGAGGAGGAGGAGGAGGAGGAGGATGGTGAAACGAGGAGGCTTGTACCCGCTCCCGCACTCGCCGCCCCCAGGAGTCGAGGCTCTTCAACACGCTCCGGACTGCGATCAAGGCGGGCGCCGCGTGGGATCCGCCCCACGCGCACGGCCGCGCCTGCCAGGGGAGAGGGGGATGAGGAGGGAGAGGAGCAGGGGGCGGAGGGAAAGGCCAAGGGTGAGAAGGGAGGAGGAAAAGGAGGAGGAGGATGTGGATGAGGTGGAGGAGGTGGAGGAGGAAGAGGACGAGGAGGTGGAGGAGGAGGAGGAGGAGGAGGAAGAGGAGGAAGAGGAGGAGGAGAATATGGAGCAGGAGGATGAGGAGGAGGATGAGGAGATGGAGGAGGATGACGAGGAGGAGGATGAGGAAGAACATGTGGCGAGGCAGGAAGAGGAAGGGAGAGGAGGGGGAGGATGAAGCAGGTGGAACATGGGGATGATGATGCTGATGCTGATGTTAATTCTTCTGATGATGGTGTTGATAATGCTGACGACGATGACGATGATTCTGCTGCTGATGACGATGGTGCGGAGGAGGAATATGACGACAACTATGATGATGACAATGATGATGCTGACGATGATGATGATGATGATGATGATGATGATGATGATGATGATGATGATGATGATGATGATGAGGATATGCTGATGACGACGATGATGACGGTGATGATGTTGATGATGGTTATATTGAAGATGATGCTTCTGACTGCGACGATGACGGTGATGATGATGGTGATGGTGATGCTGATGATGGTTATGCTGATGATGCTGATTGCGGTGCCGATAGTTGTGACAATGCTTACTGATTATCATGATGATGCTGCTGATGATGCTGATGATGGTGACGCTGACGGTGGCGATGACGACGACGCCGACGCCGACGCCAGCGATGCTGCTGTTGATGATGATGCTGATGATGATGATGATGATGATGATGATGATGATGATGATGATAGTGATGACGATGATGATGACGATGATGTTGATGACGGTGATGATGATGACGATGATAGTGATGATTCTGTTGATGTTGATGATATTGATAGTGATGATGGTGAGTGTGTTGACGATGACGATGACGATGCTGATCATGATGAGGATGATGGTGATGATGATGATGGTGATGATGCTGCTGATGATGCTGCGGCTGATGATGATGATGATGATGATGATGATGATGATGATGATGATGCTGTTGATGATGCTGATGCTGATGATGGTGGTTGTTGTTCTGGTGGTGGTGATGATGGCGGGGAGGAGGAAGAGGAGGAGGAGGAGGACGAGGAGGAGGAGGACAAGGAGGAAAATTGCTGAGAAGGATTCCGCGGAGGAGGATGAAGACGATCAGGGGGAGGAGGAGGAGGAGGAAGAGGAGGAGAAGGAGGACAAGGAGGCATGAGGGAACAGCTGAGGCAGGAAGCCTTTTAACAAGCGAGAGGAGCGGGGGGGGGGAGAGAAATGGAGGGCGGGATGATACTATAAGTGGAAGAGGCGGAAGGAGGAAGAAGAGGAGTAGGTGGATGAGGAGGAGGAGGAGAACCATAGTACACTCAAGATGCATGAACGATGCTTCAATACACCCTCTCGTCCGCTTCAATACACCCTCTCGTCCCAAGTCTCCTTCTCCAATCCCTACACGCCTTCCGTTGTCCTTCGAGACGCCCCCCCGTGAAAGGCCAGCACCAGATGGGCCTGCCATTCTGGTGGGAGCCCCGTTTTGAAAAGCAACTAGCTGCCTTGTATCCTTCCAGCGAGTCAAAAGGAACGCGCGAAGGTGTGGCCATACAGTTCAGCAGGTGTCGAGCGGCATCCCCGTTTTGAGGAGGGGCCGCCCGCATCTGTGCATCCCGCGCACACTTTCCACTTCTGGCCACCAGCGTCGGGGAAGCCTCAAGGGAAGCCCTCCTGTCGAGCGACCTCCGCGTTCTGAGAAGGGGCCGCCCGCATCTGTGCATCCCGCGCACACTTTCCACTTCTGGCCACCAGCGTCGGGGAAGCCTCCAGGGAAGCCCTCCTTTTGACACGGGGCCGCCCTCCATCCGTGCAGCTGCACCAGGCGTTGGAGCTTCGCACTCTTGTAATAAGATTACAGGAGCCTCAACCGGACGCTCCATCTCGTGAAGGAGCGGCCGCCTGTCCGCGCAGCTGCCGATCCAATCGAGCTCCCGGTGCAGAGCCCGACTTTGACAATGGAGTCGCCCACAATTCCTCGCAGCTATTTCCGAGCCTTCTGCGCCGAAGGCGTGCCGGCGCGACGGCGCGAGCCCCCTCTTGGAGAGGAGCCGCCCTCCCGCCCAGGAGCCGTCGCGAGCCTTTTTTTGGAGGCGAGCGTGCGCGGCGGAGAGGCGAGAGCTCCGTTTCGAGAGCGGGCCAGCTCCATCCGCCAGGCGATCGGAGGAGGAGGAGGAGGAGGAGGAGGAGGAGGAGGAGGGAGGAGGATCAAGGGGGCGTGGATTAGCGACGGGGCCCGTTTCCATGGGAAGTCGCGGATTTCCGCCGCCGGGCGAGGCGGCACTGGCCCATGGATTCCGCGCGCGGTGGCCAAGTCCATGGATCGCTGATCCATGTTTGTGTGTCCCCGAGTCCTTCAGCCTGCTGCAAGATTTGAGATGCACGTGCGCTGCGCTAAGGCGGGAGCTCCGTTTTGAAAACGACCCCCTCCATCCTTGAGCTGTTGCGAACTTTTGAGGTGAATTTGTGCGGCGCGATGGAAAGAACCACGTTTGGGAAACTACCCACTTCAGTTCTTTAAACTTTTAAGACGAACATGCGCGGCGCTGAGGCGAGAACCACATGTTGGAAACGTTTCCCCTCCATCCTTAAAGTTGCAGCATCTTTCAAGCTTTAGGGCTATACATGGCGCGGACGTCTCAAGCGAAACGCCCGTTCTGCCTTACCAGCACGTCTTGGGGGTGCGACAGGGGAGAGAGAGAAAGAGAGAAAGAGAGAGAGAGAGAGAGATGGAGGAGGAGGAGGAGGCGGAGGAGGAGGAGGAGGAGGAGGAGGAGGAGGAGGAGGAGGAGGAGGAGGAGGAGGAGGAGGAGAGGAGGAGGAGGAGGAGGAGGATGAGGAGGAGGAGGAGGAGGCGGGGGAGGAGGAGGAGGAGGAGGAGGAGGAGGAGGAGGAGGAGGAGGAGGAGGAGGCACTAGCAGCAGGAGCAGGATTAGGGGTTCCAGCAGCCTCGCTGTCTTCGTCGTCGTCCTCGTCCTCCCCCTGCCCCTCCGCCTCCTCCCCCTCCTCCTCTTCCATCTCCTCCTCGCCTACTTCGTGCTGGCCAGAGGTAATGGAGGATCGTGCGAGGTCCAGTGGGAGCTACGATTGCCACCTTGCTGGAGCTCAAGGGGGAATACCATATCGGCTACGCATTGGGACACGGACAGCAAAAACACTTGGATCATTCCTGCCTCCACCGACCCCTCGTTTGAGGACATGGACGCTGATGACTCTCTCATCTTGAGGGACGTGAACGACTCAGTTGATCGGCAGTTTTGGGCACAGGCCAGCGAGCATGAAGTTGGTGACGACCTTAGTCTGGGGGCCGACCCTCACCACGTGCGGAAAGATATTGACCGGTTCGGCAAGGCAGGCGAGGACGGCCTCATCGGCCTCTCGACGGCAGCCGCCTCAGGAGGCCAATGGCCCAGATCTTCTCTTCGAGCTGCTGGTTACGAGACCGGCATGTTATGTGCAGGATGTGGTGGTCAGGAGACTTGATACCACCGCATGTGGAGCTGCCCGAAGCACGGATCAACCACGAGACGAGCCCCGCCTTGTGGCTGCGCGGCGTCCCGAACCGTGCCGAGACCTGCCCCACATTCGATGAGGCAAAGCAGCCTGACACATTTTCCTTCGGCTGTTTTGATGCTGGCCCCCGCTGCGCCAAAGGTGTCCCGAACGTTTTCGATGATGGGTCGGGGGGCGAACACTCGGACGATTCCCGGCGTCGCAGGGTGGTCGCTGCTATCGTCGTTCTCGTGGGCCGCAGTTTTGCCTGAGAACTGCCGTCGGGTTTCGCCACCACTGTCTCGGGTCCCACCTAACCGGTTCCCGGTGCTGAGCTCACGGCCTTCCAGGCGGCCCTTGAAAGAACGACTGGTACATGAATTTGTATTGCCGACCACCTCCCCATCCTCAAGATTTGTTCCCAAGGTAAGTCTGGTGCTCACGTTTCGAACTGCGACCTTGGGACTAAGATTGCTTGTGCTGCCAAGGGGAGGGGTGCGGAGATACGTGCCGAATGGACCCCGTCCCACGTCTCGGCTGATGACATCGATTGCAACAGCGAGCGCGAACTTTACCGCGCTGTTGGCAACGAATGTGCTGATGTGTTAGCGGGCCGTGCGGCCCAGCGGAAGTGGTCCCTCTTCATCACAGGTTTCGTGCCTGAGACCGACCGCAGAGATGCCGAGGCCGTCCTCATCCGTCGTCGTGCGCGCAGAGCTCTGGAGGAATGAATCCAAACCGACCCTTGGGCAGCCTCGCGTCCGAACGCCCCGAGAACCCTTCTGTGCCTGTTCTGATCGGCGTCCGCCGAGTTTCCTCCCACGAATGGCGTAAGGTCGGACCCAAGTTCTTCTGTCTCGCGTGCTCCTGTTGCGAGGCGAGGGCCGCTATCAAGGATGCCGCATTGAGCGCCTGTACCATTCCGAGGGCCACGGGATCGTCCCGCTCAGATGCCCCCCAGAAGATCGGTGGGCAGAAGCCGCCTCTGCACAAGGTCAGTTTTTTTGGGGAGGTACTGCCTCACGTGTTGTATCGTCTGCGGCAGGACGGCCACTTCGGACCCTCGTTGGCTCGTGGGCCCTTGCACGACCCCCTCTCCAAGGGCCAGCAAAATCGGAGACGGACCCGTGCGTGAAGGTTTTTACCCCCACCCTGGAGGTCCGCCCAAACATGTTCATGATGCAAGATTAGCCCGCCTCCTGCTCCCGACGCTGCCCGAGCCGCCCCAGCGCGACGGATGGTGGGAGCCAGCGACGGGGGCTGCCTCAACCAAGTCGTTTCCGTAACTTTGTCTCTTAAGACTTCTGCTGTCCTTCACGCTCGCATTCCTCGCATTCCTTCTCCTCCCCTTACTTGTAGTCCTCCTCCTCCTCCTCCTCCTCCTTCTCCTCTTCGTCGTCGTCCTCCTCCTCCTGGTTCCTCCTCGTCCCCTTCCTCCTCCTCCTCCTCCTCCTCCTCCTCCTCCTCCTCCTCCTCCTCCTCCTCCTCCTCCTCCTCCTCCTCCCCCCCCGATCTAGCTCCTTCTCTTCCTCCCCGTCCGTCCGTGGGCCTTTCGGCTCTGTACCCGTTTGCCGCACCGCCCGCCGCACGATTTCCTCCTGCGGCTCGTGCGGGCTGTGAGTGCACGCGGGCCAAGGTGTGCGAAGGCGCGCTTCCGCGTGGGAGCCCGCCGTTTGTCAAGCGGTTTCCCAACGGCGCAGTGCGGGCCACACGAGAAAGGGGAAACGGGCGTCGGCCGCCTTGAGGATGATGAGGAGGAGCAGGAGCAGGAGCAGGTGGAGGAGGAGGAAACCGAAGACTAGGCCGATGAAGACTATCATGAGCATGGCGAGGGTTAGGATTACGGTTATGAAGATGGTTTGGGTCGTGACCATGATGCTGCTGCTGCTGATGATGATGATGATGATGATGATCATCATGGTGATGATGATGCTGCTGACGAGGACGGTGATGACGACGATGCTGATGATGATGATGTTTACAATGTCGATGCTTATGCTGATGATGCTGATTGTTGCTGTTGATGGTGATGGTGACGATGATGGAGATGCTGATGATGATGAGGGTGAGGGTAATAATGATGATGCAGCTGATGTTGATGGTATTGATGATGGTAATGATGGTGCTGGTGGTGGTGATGATGATGAATACGATGAAGATGCTGATGATGATAACGCTGAGGATGAGAGGCGAGGGGCTGCTGATACTGCTGCTTCGGATGGTGAGGATGATGTGGACGATAACGATGCCGATGCCGATGCCAATGGCGATGCTGATGATGATCATGATGATGCTGATGCTGATGAGGATTGTGATGACGATGATGACGATGCTTATGATGATGATGACGATGATGATGATGATGGGGATGCTGAGTATGATGATGACGATGTTGCTGATTATGCTGATGATGCTGATTGTTGCTGTTGATGGTGATGGTGACGATGCTGGTGATGCTGATGATGAGGATGAGGGTGAGGGCCATACTGGTGATGATGACGATGCTGGTAATGATGGTAATGATGTTGGTGATGATGACGATGCTGATGGCGGTGGTGGTGGCAGTGGTAGTGATGATGCTGAATACGAAGAAGATGCTGATGATGATGACGCTGAGGATGAGATGCGGGGAGGCTGATGATAATGCTGATGATGATGGTGAGGATGATGTGGATGAGGACGATGACGATGACGATGCCAATGACGATGATGATGACGATGATGATGACGATGATGACAATGATGATAGTGATTTTGCCGATGATGATACTGTCGTTGATGATGAGATGTTGGCGATGCTGACGGTGATGATGATGCTGATGACGATGAGAATGAGGATACGGATGGGGATGATGATGCAGCTGCTGCTTATGATGACGATGATGACGATGACGATGACGATGATGATGATGATGATGATGATGATGATGATGATGATGATGATGATGATGATGATTCTGATGATGATGATGATGACGATCATGATCATGATCAGGATGACGATGATGATGATGATGATGATGTTGTTGATGATGATGCTGATGATGATTATGATTGTGGTGATGGTGGTGGTGGTGATAATGATTATGCGAATGGTGATGCTGACGCTGTTGATGCTGCTGCTGCTGATGGTGATTGTTACGATCATGAGTGTGAAGATTGATGTGTGTGTGTGACGGTTAACATTATTGTGGCGTTGCTGCTGCTGATGGTGGTGGTGGTGGCTGTGGTGATGATGATGACGATGACGATGATGATCATTAGGGTGACGCTGATGATGATGATGATGATGATGATGATGATGATGATGATGATGATGATGATGATGATGATGATGTTGATGATGATTATGATGATGATGCTGATAATGTTGTTGTTGTTGTTGGTGGTGTTGTTGTTGTTGTGGTTGTTGTTGTTATAAGGCTGAGGAGGAAGATGAAGAGGAGATCGAGGAGGAGGAGGAGAAGGGGGAGAAGGGGGGGGTGAGGAGGAGGAGGAGGAGGAGGAGGAGGAGGAGGAGAAGGGGTAGGAAGGCGGAGAAGAATGAGGATCTTCCTCATCCTTCCTCACGGACCGAGGATCGAGGATTCATGTTTTTTGTTGTTCTACTCCCGACCTTTCCTGTGGGGGCGCCTCTGGAGACCTTATTCTTCCAGAGATTTCCAGAGGCCTCCAGAGACTTCTTCCCCTCCTTCCTCCCCCTCCCCCTCCTCCTCCTCCTGCCACTCCCTCTCCTCCTGCCCTCCTCCTCTGCTGCCCCCGCCCGCTTCCCCTTCTCCCCAATGCTCCTCCTCCACGCCTGCTTCTCTGGGGGCTCCTGGAGACCGCGGAAGACCTCTGCGCGAGGACCTCCAAGGGCCACCGGGGAACCCTGGTTGTGCTGATGCGGGTCTTTTGCCCAGACGCTTCGCCCTCTTCTAGTGGGCCCGACACCACGCTGGAGCCCCACTTGAAATCGACGCGTCGAGAAGGTTGAACAGCACGGTCCTTCGGGATGACTCTGGCCGTAGACGAGGATGACACAATATTGGCCTCCTCCCTCCTCCCGGCTGCCGGCGCAGGGGCGGTGGGCTGCGAGGGGGCTCCAGGCGCCAGGCGCCTGTGGCTTCCTCCTCATCCTCTTCCGCCGCCTTCCTCAGCCTCCTCGTCATCTTACGTGCCTGGGAAGGCGAGGATCCGAAGTGTCGGAAGCAGCACTACTCGGAGGAGGAAGTGCGTCGCATAACACAGCCTCGCCAGACCTTGCCCGCTGTATCCTCCTGGAAGCGTCCCGTGGAGGTGGCGCAGCAGCGCTGGAGAATGCACCATGCGAAGACGCAGAGGAAGGCGCTGGCGCAAGAGCAGAAGGACATCAGCTGGGGGGAGGGATGGAGGCAGGGACGCATGGATGGGAGAGGAGGGGAGGCGGGGGGCGGCCATGCAGTCAGGCGAGGGAAGAGGAGGGGAGGCGACGAGATGCCGGGGGGGGGGAAATGGAGTAGAGAGAGGGAGGATAGGACGGCGGAAGGAGTGCGAAGGACGGTAACCCCAGTGCCCAGGGCTCTCCTCAAGTGGTGGAGCGAGAACCGTCGGTCTACGCCTGGGCGCAAGGACGAGGGAGAAGGGAGAAATAAAAGAGAGGTGAGGGGCGGGGATGGGGAGGGGGGATCGATGATGGGAAATACAGATGATAAATATCTGCCTTGGCTTGTAGAATAGCTAAGGACTGTTGAGTTTTGTATGTGCACATACGCAGGTGTGTGTGTGTGTGTGTGTGTGTGTGTGTGTGTGTGTGTGTGTGTGAGATTTTTTGTTTTGTGTGTGTGTGTGTGTGTGTGTGTGCGCGCCTATGTAGGCGTCTGTCTGTGTGGGGCGTATGCATTTCCGTATGTATGTGCATGTTTGTATGTATCTAGTTATACCTGTACGTACGTATGCATGCACGCATGTATTCACGTATATGCATGCACGTGCCCACGCACATGTACATATGTGCATGCGTACACACAGGTCTACATGCATTCGTAGACACATGCGACTACACACATACTTACAGCATACAGGCATGCATGCATACACACATAAAGAAGTAACCAACCATATCTATCAATCCACCCATCCATCCATCCATCCATCCATACATTCATACATATTATCATTTTTATATATATATATATATATATATATATACAAGACTGTATTGGCGCTTCGCGCCATACTCTTCGGTCCTTCAGGTCTGGCATGCAGACATGATGGCAATAATGCAAGCGGAACATGCAGCGACAACCTTTTATTGCCTTTTTTGGCATCGTCGTTGTAATAATGTTACTCGTTATCTTTCCCTCATGTTTCCTCTTTCTCTTCCTCATTCTCGCCCTACCCTGTGAATTCGCCACCATCCTCAGCTTTTTTGTGGAGTCTCATCATAGGAGAGCCTCTTGTAAGTCTCACGAAGGTTTTTCAGGGCTTGTTGGGGCCTTCTGGAAGCCTCCTGGGTTCCTTTGGGGCACTGGGGGCTTCCCCGGGCCATCCTGCTTCCAACCGCGGTCGCCCTCAACGACCGGGTCACGATTTAGAATGATTCGGGAGGCGTCTTGGGGCCATCTTGGGCCGTCATGGGGCTCTCTTCAGGTCATCTTGGGGCCTTGTTGGGCCGTCTTCGGGCTTCTCTTGGACTGCCTGAAAGCCCTCTTGGTTAAATTTGGGGCGATGCTCTGGCCTCCTGGGCAGTCTCGGACGCCCGGAAGGCCGAAGAATTGAGCATGCCCAGAACATCGGACATCCACGTTTTTTGCATTTCGAATGCCTCTTGGGGGTCTTCTTTGGGTCGATTTTGAGCGTCTGGTGGGTGTCTGGGGCTTCTGGGCTCTCGCGGGGCCGTCCGGCCTGTTGGCTAGGCCCAGCAGGGGCTTCAGGAGCCCCGGAAAGCACAGGGGACCGTCTGCAAGGGCGTCCAGGGTACTCCCGGGGCCAACTGGTCCCGTTTGGTGGGAAGGTGAGGGTACCAGATTATGAGCATATAGACAAAGGGAGAATGTGTGTGTATATATACATATATGTATTAGTATAGATCCCTTTATATAAATATTAGATATATATATATATATATATATATATGTATACATAGATACATATGTGAGTAGGCCTCGGGGGGGGGGGCGGATCCGTGCCACTGCGTTGCATGAGGGCCAAGCGAGGCTGGACCCGCTAAAAGGTTTCTAAGAGGGCCCTGAGGCCACCAAAAGGGGCCTTCAAGGGGACCAGAACTCGCCAAAACGCTCCCAGCACGCCGACCATTGCTTCGAGACGGCTCACGTGGCCTCCAAGACGCCCCAAGAGAGCTTCAAACTGATCGCCTACAGAGAGGCCCCAGGGGCGAAAATCAAGGACTTCCCGTAGCGTTCCCAGTATTTTCATGTGGTCGTCTGCTCCGCTGCTCGCCCAGGAGGGCCCCAAGGCACCCCCAAGAGGGCGCCAAGACGGCCCTAGGGGGCTCTGGGCGGCCCCCCACATGAGCTCGGACACGCCACACGGGCTATAAACGAGGCCCACAGGGCCCCCAAACGGCCCCAGCACGCCAGTCATTGCTCGGATGCGGGCTCAGATAGTCTCCAAGGCGCACCAAGAGAGCTTCAAGCTGATCCCCGAGAGAGGCTCCAGGGGCAAAAGTCCTGGACGTCCCATTGGTTTTTCAAGGCTTCTCGTGCTGTCGCCTGCTCCGCTGCCCGACGGCCAGAGACGGCACAAGAGGCGCCCAAGAGGGCCCCACGAGGCGCCCAGAATCGCCCAAGCGAGCTCCAGGTGGCTCCCCACATGAGCTTAGCCACGCCACAAGGGCTTTAAAAAAAGGCCCACGGGGCCCCCAATCTGCCCTGGCAAGCCCACCGTCGTTCCGATGCGGCCCACGAGGCATCCAAGACGGCCCGAGGGGGCTCTGAACTGTTTTCCGAAACAATCGCAATAGGCAAACATCATTGATTTCCCATCGGTTTCTCATTGCTTCCCGCGTGGTCGCCTGCTCGGCTTCCCGACGTTCGGAGACGGCACACGAGGCGTGCACGGTGGCCCCGACGCGCCCCAAGGCGGCCGCCAAACCGGCCCAAGTGGCGCCCAAGATGGCTCAAGATGGTTCCAGGCGGCTCTCCACATGCGCCTGAACACGCCAAGAGGGCCGTAAATAAGGCACGCAGGTTTCCAAAACAGCCCCAGCACGCCCACCAAAGCTTACATCATGTCCATGAGGCATTGAAGACAGTCCTCTCTTCCTGGGGTGGCTTGAGGCGTCTCAAGGTCTGTGCATGTGAAACTATAGTATCTGCATCTTGCGGTGGTCCTCACCGCTCCTGCAGCCAAGGGTCTGACATGCCCCTCCTTGCTCACCTGCCTGCACAGGGCCCTGTATGTATGTATATATATATATGGTCATATCGATATGTGTGTATATGTGTGCAGGCTCATATCTCTCGTATGCAGCAAAAAGCGGCCCCGCCTCCTCCCCAAGTCGAAGACCACCAGGGGCACCTGAGATACACTAAGTGCCCCCTCCCCCCCCGAGGCCTCCCCGGGTTTCCAGCGGCTCCCCGGAGCTCCCCCGGCCACCCCGGAGCTTCCGGGTAGGTTCCACACGGGCCAACGTGGCTTCTGGCCGGCCCCAGATGGCGTCAAGATGGGACTCCAAGACAACCCAAGACGGCTGCAAGAGGACTCCCTAACAGGGCCCGAATTTATGAACATCTTCCCAGTCCCTTTCGCAGGAAAGCGCGGCATTTCTAGCACATTCGCTGTTTTGATGCGCGCAGGATCCAAGACGGCACCACAGGCCCCTCAGAGAGTCCCACGACGGCCCAAGAGGTCCTTTGGAGGCTCTCAGCACGGCCCCAAGACGGCTCAAGAGGCACCCGGGACCGCCGAAGACGGCCCCAAGAGGGCACCGAGAGGGGCCCCGTGGTGGGAATGCGAGCCCACAGTTCGAGGCCTCTGCCCCAAGCGGGCCTCGAAGACCGCCAGCAGGCCCCTCAGGGTTCCCCAGAGGCCCCCAAGAGGTCCAAAGGGGGCCCCCAGGAGGCCCCGACAGGCGCCCAAAGAGGCGCCCAAACTGTCTCCAAGGGGCTCCCATCCAAGAGGTCCCACACCAACAGCCCAGGCACGGTGACAGGATGGGCAGAAGGCCACCAGAGGGGCGCACGTGGACGAGCGGCACGGTGCCCCTCCTCTCTGTCCGCACAATTTGAGGCCTCCAGCCCTTCCTCTTCTTCTTATTCTTCCTCCTCTTCCTCTTCTCTTCGTCCTCCTTCTCCTGCCCCCCTGTTTCCTCCTTGACCTCCTTGCCTTCTTGTCCTCCTCCTTGTGCTTCTCCTCCTCCTCCTCCTCCTCGTCCTTCTTCTCCTTCTCCCCCCTTCCCCTCCCTCCTCCCACTGCACCTCCCCCCTCCTCCCGCTGCTCCTCTTCTCTCTCTTTCCCCGTCCTCTCCCCCTCCCCTATCCCTCTCCCAGCTCCCATTCCCCCCTACCCCTCCCCTCTGCCCCCCCTCTGCCCCCTCTGCCCCAATCGCCCTCGCTTTCTTCCTGCAGCTCCAACCGCGTGGCTGGGTCCAGCCAGCCAGCCGTCTGTCTGAGCCGATGGCAGATTCGAGAATGCTCGACAGAACGCACTACGTTCTTCATGGTGGCATTTGGATGGGGGAGGAGGAGGAGGAGGAGGAGGAGGAGGAGGAGGAGGAGGTAAACCGAAGGTAAAGGCGCTTAGGGGGCGGTTCCCAAATCCACTTGGAAAATGGCTGACGCCCCTGCGAGTGTATACGTATGCAGGGCCGCACGTTGCCGCGAGGCCTGCAGGCCACGCGTGCTCCTGACTCATGGCGCACCCAGCCTAAGACACGCACATGATCGCCCGCCAGGAAGCACGGGCGGCGTTGGCGGGGGGGGGGGCCCTGCAACTTAGAAGGAGGAGGACGACGACACTACGGCGACGTCGAGATGAGGAGGGCGCGCAGTGCAGGCGCAGTGTCTTCTGCGCGTGCGCGCGTGCTGGGGGCTGCTTTGCTCTCTGTCTCGAAACCACGGAAACAAACGTTCTGAAAGTAAGCCCGCCCTCCCCGTCCCAAACTCGCCACCCCAGTCCCTTCCAACATAACCACAAGCTCGTGAGACTAGCTCTCGCCACGGTAAGGCCAGAAGGGGCGACGCACCAAATGCGCGCCCGCATCCCCCCCTGCCGACACGCCAAATGCGTGCCGCCCCCCTCTTCTCAGTTTTTTATTTTTCTTCTCGGCTCCTGGGGAGCAGGGGGGGATGCTCTCCTTTCTCCGTCTTCTTGAGCTGAGGATGACGGGGAGGAATGGGGCAATAACACAACGATGTTCTCGACATGACTCGTGTGTTTGTTTGGGATGCTACTCTACTCAAACGTTATCCCATATACTCGTGTAGTTCTGTCACACACCAAGGCACTGCCCATCCACGGCTGCACCGCCAAGGAAAGTTCGTTCCTCTTATATAGTCCTCGTGTTTGCAACTCCCGCAAAGACATGCAACTTGCCAATCCATCACTGTCTGCACACATTAAAAGATCATACACTCTGTCCATGAGCGGCCCGAAATTATGTTCAAGTCGTTTTACGGACTGATCACCAACCTTGCGCGCTGAATTGTTTCTCGGTTCGATGTGAGTGAGTTTTTTTTCGGAAGCTGGAACGCACACATTGCCAGTGGCGGGCTGTTTCTCAATCCCAGGACTTTCTTGAGGGTCGGGGGCGTCGTCGGGGTGGTGTGGTGTATACTTGTTTCCCGTTTTCCCGTGGAAACAACGAAGCATGTATACACCAGGATGCCGTATACACCAGAATCCGTTTTCTTGTGCGCATCTCAGTGCGGGACCGAAAAAAAAGGCATCGGTGTATAGAGTTCGGTTCCCTAGTTGTTTGATGCGATTATTTTTCCAAGCAAGGTCGGCCCACGTTTATTTCATTCCCAGTGCTTGCAACTCATGCAACGTCCATCTGATTCTTCGGATGCCCACCACTGGGGATCAGGTACCTATCTTCTTTGATCGGAGCCATACCGTATAAGAGTCCCAGGAAATCGTCCGTGCAAACTTCCCATGTTGGTGCTCAAGAAGCCAGGCATACTTCGTAAGAGGGCGGACGTGAATGTAGTATGTCTAAGCCGTCATGGGAGAGTTCTCTTTAAAAGTCAGTGCTTGTGCCCTGGTCAATAAGACATGGTCCACTTCCAGTTGTCAGTGTAGATAAAGCCTGCCCCAAATATTGTATACGAAACTTCATTTTCTGCTTCTGTGATTTCCTCATTTGTCTCCGAAGTCGTGTGCGATCTGTGCCGAAGCCGGGTGGTGCGCCTGGGCGCCCGGTGCGGCCACCGTATTCAGCAGCCGCTCCCGCCATTCCCTCCGGGCACGGGGAGGCAAGAAAGGGAGAACGGGAGTACAGTCAGCGGAATGTCGAGACAAACGTGTACGGTTCTGTAGCGAGCCTCCCCTCCCCTCAGCCTCGTGCAGTTGGGCGGCCCTGAAGTCCTGCGGGGGTGAAGCTTGTACCCTCCTGGCGGGTCGGTAAAGCTTCGAGCCTTCCCACGCCGACTAAGAGGAGGAGGAGGAGGAGGAGGAGGAGGAGGAGGAGGAGGAGGAGGAGGAGGAGGAGGAGGAGGAGGAGGAGGAGGAGGTTCGAGGTTTCTGGACTCTTTTGATATTGTTTGCGGTTTGAGACTCCAGAGGCTCCCGAAGGTCTCTGGGGATCTCCGAAGGCATCTGGGGACCTCCATGGAACTTTGCAGGGGTGGGGCGGAATCCGATGTCAATCGACGTTATTGTCATCGCCGTCGCCGTCGCCGTCGCCGTCGCCGTCGTCGTCGCCGCCGTCGTCGCCGTCGTCGCCGCCGTCGTCGTCGTCGTCGTCGTCGTCGTCGTCGTTGTCGGCGGCCTTCTCATCACACTCTTCATCCTCTGTTTCCTCCTCCTCCTCCTCCCCCTCCTCTTCCTCCTCCTCCTCCTCCTCCTTCCTCCTGCTCCTCCTCCTCCTGCTCCTTCTCGTCCGTGTTCCGCTGTTTCCTCCCTTCCTGCCGCTCGTCCTTCCTTCTGCTCGCAGGAAGCGGGGGCCCTCATGGCAAAGAACCAGAAGGCGATGGAGCAGCTGGCCGAGACTCGCAAGAGGAGCGAAGAGAGAAGGAGGATGATGATGATGAAGCGGAAGGAGGAGCAGGGAGGGCGGGAGGGATGGAGGGAGGAGGAGGAGGAGGAGGAGGAGGAGGAGGAGGAGGAGACGGAGGGGGAGGAGGCGGAGGAAAGAGCAGGGAGGACGCGGAGGGAAAAAGGGAAGGGGGGCGGAGAGCGAGGGAGGCAGAGAGGAGTGAGCAGTCAGAACCCGACGCCAGGAACGAGGAACTGGAGGCCCAGCACCTGATGCTGCAGTCCGAGGATGGGCCCCCCCCGCCCGCGGTCGGGAGCCTTTTGGCCTGGCGTGCCGCGCCGCCAGCTCTGGCTCGCCGTGCCTCTGAGAGGTGGAACTCCTCCTCCTCCTCCTCCTCCTCCTCCTCCTCCTCCTCCTCCTCCTCCTCCTTCTCCTTCTCTTTCTCCTTCTCCTCCTCCTCCTCCTCCTCCTCCTCCTCCTCCTCCTCCCCCCCTTCTCCCGTCGCTACGGCTCCATTCTCTGCGATGTGCAGGTCAGAACTTCGCTCCTGGAGAGGTCGGTCTGGGGAATCGCGGTAGCGGAACCTTTCCCCTCCCCCAGCCTCGGCGCGACACGCTAACCACGTCCCAGTCCCCAGGCATCAACGTACCGAGCTTTTCCCATCCCGCCCCCATCGCAGCGAAGCGACGCGCCGTGAGGTCATAGGGCGTAGCGAGTTGCCAGGGCCGCCGCCGCGACACGCCAAGCGAAAGTTTCCGACCGGATGATTTCCTCTGCGGCTCTTTGCGCCAGCAGCCAGCAGCATTCCCCCAAGAGCGGCTATCTGCCCAAGCCTCCGACGTCGTGGTCCTCTCAATCCGTGGGCCCCAGGGCTCTCTGAACACGCTCTGCTTGCTCCCCCCGTTTGCTGGGACTGGTTGTTTGTCAAGGATTTGTCTTTAAGGCCTTCGCACTCTGCCGCCGGCCCGCTCTCTACCACGATGGAATATACGGGAGCTATGTTGGGCTGCCTGGGCGTCGTCGTGCAACGCCATCGAAATCTCGTGCGAGGACGAACGATCATCTTCAAGACTGATTGAGATCCAGATGATATTGCCGAGCTCTGTGTTGCCTTCTTCGAACTTCCCCCATGGCGTGTTTCGGGGGCCCTCTTGGAACGACTGTGGGCTGCTTGAGGCTACATTGGGCAAAGTCTCGCGGCTTGGACGGTCATTTGATCTTCGGATTTATACACACATTTATATATATAGTATTTATGTATTCGTTTATCTATGTTTAATAACGGACTGTGGCTTCGGGGACGCGAGTATGGTGCAATTTGATAAGAATCGCTGCCTCGGAGGCGCGAGTACGGCGTAATTTGCTAGATATACCTATCGCTGTCTCCTCGCGAAAGGTGCGCAGCTTACGAGTGATCGCGGCCTCGGGGACGCGAGCACGGCGTGCTTCACGATCGATCGTGGATTCGGGGGCCCGAACGCGGCCTCGGGGACGCGAACATTGTATAATTCACTAGGGATCGTGGCCTCTGGGACGCGAGCCCTGGGAAAGTTTTGGCGGAGTGTGGCCTCGGGGACGCGAAGATGGTATGATTTGGAAGGTCTCGTAGCCTCAGGGACGCGAGAGTAGAGTAACTTACGAGGGATCGTCGCCGCGGGGATGCGAACAGAGTGTAATTTACGAGCTATCGTGCCCTCGGGAGCGCGAGTCTTCAGTACTTTACCATGGATGATGGTCTCGGGGACGCAGGTGCTGCTCATTTGACAGCGATCGTGGCCTCGGTGACGCGAGCACTGTATAATTTTCAAGCGGCCGGGGCCTCGGAGTCGTGAGCATTGAACAATTTTCGGGGGGTCGGGGCCTCTGGGACGTGCAGTTGATGATCGTGGCCTCGGGGACGTGACTCTGAAGGAACTTATGGAGGATCGTGGCCTTGGGGACGCGAGCATTGCGTAATTTACGAGGGAGTGTGGCCTCGGAGCTGCGAATCCCCAATAGTTAACAGAAGGGATCGCGGCCTCGGGATCGCGATTTCAGTATATTATACTAGGGATTGTGGCCTCAGGGACCGGAATTTTGTCTTTTGGATTCTCATCACGCTGTCCCCTGAGGTCCCTTGTGTAGTCTGAAGCGTGAATACCTGTATTCACCACGTGGTTTGCGCAGGGCCAGTGCCACCGACGCTGCTGTGGCTCAAGTCTCCAAAACCCCGGGAGGAAATGGGAACAGGGAGCGCCCTCCACATTCCCTCCTGCCTCACTCGGCTCACGGTACGATCCCCACGTCTGTTCACATGGTAGCCGGAGCGTAATGGGGGCATGATGGACGCGGCGCCGAGGACGCCGAGAGCCTCCCTCCCAGGAGGGTCGAGGAGACGACCCAACAAGCAGGAGCCGCTGGAGCAGCCATCCTAGACGCAGAGGCCGCCGACAGCAGTGCCGCCGCCGCTGCAGCAGCCAGCAGCGCAGCGGCACGCGCCACTGGCAGGCGCCACCGGCAGCAGTGGAGCCTCAAGACCTGTGGCTGGGCGACGACCCCTGGAGACCAGAGAACCAGCAGTCACAGTGGAGCAGCTGGTGGACCAGCGGATCTCGGCGGATGACCTCGTGGTGGAACGACGGCAGCTGGTGGTCAGACAGGGCCTCAGGCCAGGTGTGGGTCACCATCACGTCACCAAAGCAGCCGCCCACACCGATCGCGCTGCTGCAGCCGGCCGCCCCCGCAGCATCCGCGCCGGCACAGCGCCCGGCACGGCCGACCGTCCCAGCCGCGCCTGCGCCAGTGCCGCCGACGCGGATGCCGCTAGCGAGCGAGCCAGCCACACTGGCTGGAGCGGCATCGATCCGGTGGCAGTCACCGGCGCAGCCAGTCTCCTCGCCAGCGCCGCCGGGGACGGACGGGGTGTCGGCGTCGACGGGCTGGCGGCCGTCGGATACGCGGGGGCCACAACCGTGAGGAGGATCGAGCGACTGGACACATACGTAGTGGCCGTCCGTCGCTGGAGCAGATGAACAGGATTGCCAGCAGACCAGCAGGCGGGCAAGATCATAGACGGGGTGCCACCAGACCTGAAGGAGAGACTCCTGCATCACCAGGACGAGCTGGACAGCACCAGTGGAGTGAACGTCCTAATCGACTTCTTGAAGAAGTGCCGGGGCGACCAGGACGGGGACGAGGCCAGAGAGATCTGCAGACTCGTTCTAGAAGAAGCTGACATGAAGCCGACCAAGACCTACACCCAGTACGTACTACGACGAGACGTGCAAGTGCGCAATGCACGAAAACACGGACTCGGCCTCCCGGAACAAGTGCAGGCACAACAGCTTCGCAATGCAGCCAACCTTAGCGAACACAATGCGATCAACCTGCTGTCGATCACTCAGGGCAAGGGGGATTTGGAGTCGATCAGGCGTGGACTGGTGAAGATGGGCGTGAAGAAGAGCAGCAAGAAAGAAGCTCGAGTCCACGCCGTCGTCGACAGCGCGGACGAAGAAGGCGCAACCTCGAGCACGGAAACGATCTATTACTACGAGCTGGAGACCGACCTGATGATGGGCGAAGAGGACGTGGCATCGTTCTACCAGGCGATCTCCCATCAGGAATTGGACGAGGATTAGGCAGTCGCGGTGCTAGCCGCGGTGCTGGACGAGAAGAGTGAGAACGAAGGGCGCCCGCGCAAGTGGGCGGAGTCGGAGGAGCTCAAGAAGGCCATCGCCAGGGACCGAGAGTTGTTCGATTCGGAGAGGGCTCGAGGCCGCCCGCCGCCGCGTCCGCAGGCTGGGAGGCAGCGTCGCAGCATCGCCCGCCTGAAGGAGCGAACCCGATGCGCCAACTGCGGTCAGAAGGACCTTTGGCGGAAGGAGTGCGCCAATCCGTGCAGGCCAAAGCCGAATAGTCCCGCCGGCTCCGAGCCGGCCGGGGCGCGAGGATCCGCGTGCGTCGCCGCTGGAGACGAGGGCGCCACTTACTTGATCGGCGACGACCGCATCTCCGAGATCTGCCGCGAGATACCCGAGTCTCGTCTCCACTCCATCTATCTCTTGTTGATAGACGGCGACGAGCTTGAGGGCATGGCGCAGCAGCTGGCCAAACGCTGGTCGGAGAAGAAAAATTGCAAGAGCTACGCAAGAAGTGCCGCGAGAGGGGATGGGGGATTCCAGTTCGAGAGCTGAAGAGCGCCACCTCGGCAAGGGGGTCGGCGGCTGGTCAGCGGTCGTCGGCGAGTGCGTGTCGCAAAGGCAGGGATCAGGTGCCTCATCCTGTTCAGGATCATCGGGGAGGACGTGCCGTTGCTCCTGCCAGCTCGCTGGCTGGAGAACCCGGGCGATATCGTGAGCCTGGCGAGCGATCAGCTCGCGCTGCGACAGGGCGGCCAGGATCGGGTCATCAGGGTGACGAGGCAGAAATCCCGGCGCGGGACCATCGGCCTGCTGGGCGACAGCTCGCTGAGGGACTTCGAGATCCCTGGGGCTGCCCAGCGTTGACTGGCCAGACCTGAGTCTAGAGCATTTTTCGCGCGCGTGGTCCCCTTTCCTCTCGCTGCTCCCTCCGATCCCCCGAAGTCCAATTCAGGCCTCGATTCAGCTGGGGCCAGAACCCCCCCCTCTCCAGAGGCCTTCGGAAGCGTGGGAGGGGAAGGGGGGCCGCGCCCAGAGGGCCCAGCCGGGTCTGAAGGCAGCTCGGAAGCAGGGGGCCCCGGAGAGAGGGGCGAGGCCAGCAGGGTGACAAAGGCGCCCGGGGAGGGAAAAGAGGACGAGGAGGGGGCAAGCGGGGAAGCCGGACACCCAGGGCGGAGAAGGGGGCCGAACGACAGCGATCTCGACGATAATCGCGGAGGCTATCCGAATGTCATCTGGGCTCAAGACCAGATCGCCCATCTCCGACCCTCAGTGCACCTTCGGAAGTTTCGAGGAACGCACCAGGGGGGGGGGATGTCTGCGCCCGTAGAAGTCGAGAGCGCGCCTGTGCTCGAGTCCAGGGAGGTCTCAGAGGCCTCTCAGGACTGAAGCGCAATGGCCAGATCACGAAGGACAGCTCCATGGGTGCAAGCGGGGAAATGCTGCCCGACGCAGGCCCGAACGTCGAGAGCGAGGCGGCACCTTCGGAGGGGGCGCCCGGGTCGATCCCCGAGACGGCCCCATGTTCGACGGCGATCGAAGGGCCGTGGCTGAAACCGAGGGCTTGGGAGCGGTTTTCGACCAGGATGCTGACGGTGACGGGGAGGCATCGAGGATGTTGCGGGATCTGCGCGGCGAGCTCAAGGGGGCGATCAGCCAGCCAAACTGCT